ATAATAGATACTACTTTTAACATGAAGACTTGATTGTATTTTAGTTTAACAAAAGTCAAACTGAAGCCAAGTAAAATGAGGAGAATTGTGAACTTGTAATAAATGATTTGAGTCAACAAAGATATTTATGTTTGTATTTGTTTTCCTAAAAGAGTCCTCTAAGGGTAAAAGATGCACTAAATAATACCAAGAAGTTACAGTACTTATGCTTTTAAAAATTGTAATTTATATTTAATATATATGTATTTTTATAAGTTGACTTATTGCTATAAAAGAAAATATTAGCACTTAAACATTTGTAACTACGTTCCCTTATAACCCTTCATTCTTCTATTTATATTGTTATTTTTATATTATCCAAGTTTACAGCTTTCATATTCTGTCCTATAACTAGAAATAACATGGGGTATAAGTATTAGTTTATATTTAAATATATTCAGTGTTCATCCTATAGCTCCTTCATTCTTTAAAGCTATATATTGGTTCATTTTTAATTGGCTGAATTTCATTGCTAAGTCATTTCTTTAAGAATAGTCATTTATGTTATATTCTCTGAAGGTTTCTTTTTTATGTTAAAGAATGTTGAATGCCATTAAACTTGGAAGATATCTTGGTAGGTGATAATAGACTTGTCACACTTTTATTCAGAATGTTACAGGCTTTCTTTTCCACTGTCTTCTGGTGTAGAAGGCTACCATTTTAAAATCTGAGATGAATTTAATATATTCTTCCACTTTTTAGATGATATTTGGTTTCAGCCTAGTCTTTTTAAGTCTTTCTTTAACTTTGAAGATCACTTAATCACTTAAGATCACACATGCCTTGGTATTGAGTGCTTTCTTTCAGATGTCCCTAGAACATGGTATATTCTTTGAATTCACAGGAAATTTTCTTTATGATATCTGCTGCTGATATATTTGTTTTATTCTCTGTCTCAATGGCGAAGATTTTATGTTGGTTCATCTTTATCTTTCTTGTTCATTACCTGTTTTTCAATTGCTTTTTATCTGTGCTTTTTCAACATCATTAATTACAATTACCTCAAACTTTCCCTTAATGTCAGTAATTTGACTTCAGCAGGTATCTGATTACTTACTTATTCTAATTGATTTATCAGATCTTTAGCGATGTTGTTTGGTTTACAATTTGTATCCTTAAGTTTGCAACCTCCTGATTTATCTGATTCTATTATTTGTTTGTTTTTTCATTGCCATCCAGTTATGTTAGCTTTGTCTGAATTCATGTTCTTACTCTACAGCATGAAATGATTTTGAGAAATTTCCTGGAGTTCCTTGAGTTACATTTTCCTCTTGATTGGTATTTTGTCTATCTTCGGCATACTATGTTTTCCGCTTTCATTTTTGAAATATATTTGCATAGTTCCTCTTCCATTCCCGTTCATTTGCTCATTCTTGAGGAAATGTGTATAAACAATTCATGTACTCTTTTATAGAGAGGGATATTTCTTAACTTTTATCTCATCAAATCAGGGACTCTTGTTTGTTTGTTTCTCCTTCTTAGCTCCAGTTTGGAGGCTGGATGTGTCATGAGCACCCTCATTTTGTAACTTGAAGGAATGATGAGATTGAGGGAAGTTCAGCCTTTATCAGAATACTTGGGTACTTTTCTCTATTTTAAGGTATTTTTTTTAGTGATGTTGGCTAATATTATTGGTGGAGGACTATAGGTATACTTCGCTGGACAGATATATTGTTTATTAGTTGGACTCTAGAGTTTTACCAAGTGAGTATATAGGCATGAAACTCTTTGTCTGTAAAATACAGTCATCTTTACTATTCACACTTTCCTGCTTTACTCTCCATAAACTGTGTTTACTCCTCTTCAGCTAGAAAAGGAATAAGATTAAAAAACGTGATGCATATACAAATGTACTTAACTCCAGAACTAGAGGTTGTTATGAGAGTTCTCAGCATTTTTTCATTTCACCAGTGGAGATAGGGATAAGATTAAGGAGTCAAAAACTCATTTCCTGAGCCTGGCCTGAACTCTTCTTACGGCTCAGTTATTTTTGTTGTTTATTTCGTTTGTTTTGATTAGTTTAAAGTCAATGGCATTTGTCCCTTTTCTTGTTCAGACATTGTTCAGTTCTGTTGTTTACTTGTTTGTTTGCATTTATAATTTCTTGCCCATTTCATTAGGTGTTGGGGTAAAAAGAATCTGTATTATGTTTTCAGTTCACTCTTTTTCAACTAGGCTTCACAACACAAACACATAAGACTAAGTGTTGCTATTTTACAGTTGAGAGTTAAGTAACTTGTCCACCATTATGTAGTAACTGACTAGGCTAGAATTAAAACATGTCTGTTTCCACTTTTAGGTTATTAATGAAATGTACTGAAATTATAAATATATAATTGTAATATAAGTATAAATTACAAATATTTTGGAAGACTAATGAGAAGGAAGTAGATCTGAGTGGATAGTGAAAACAGTGAAGAGGGAATCAGGAAACCAGAGTTTGATTTCTTGCTTTCTCTTACAGCAAGTAGTGAATCTCAAAAAAGACGATTCAATTTCCTGGGTTTCAATTTCCTTGTCTGTAATAATGGTGACAATGACAATGGTGATGGTGATCGTCATGATATGGTGACTATACATTTACTTGTACTGGGAACAATATGCCATACTTCATAAGCAGTGTATGATTAAATCTGAAAACAATCATTTAAGATACATATATCTTTTTTACCAATGAAGATACTGAGAATTGTTCAAGTCCACTGAGGTCCGTTTGATTCGGAGGTACCATTGCATTTCTATACCACAAAGTCTGGCCTGAGTGGTCTACAAAACATCTACCAACTTTGAGATGCTGTAGAACTATGGTAGGTAGAGGAGATCACCATGCTCTTACATGTCTCTCACGTATAACAATTAGAGTCTGGACTGGGTGTCCTAACATTAAGTCTTGGTATGATGAGATTTATACTTTGTGTTGTTTATTTCAACTTAAAATCTAACAGCAAAACATCATTTCACCTTAAATGTGAGAATTGAACTCTTCGTCCTCCTCTTTCCTTTCCCTTTCTTTCTTAGCAGTTCAGTCCAAATGTCATGAAGGGAGCTAAGTAAAGTAGGCATCCACATGAATGTGGATGATGAGAGTTACAGCAGCCCAGCATGAGGTGGTAGAGACTGAGAGGGATGAAAAAGCTATCCATGTAAGGCAGAGGGTATCACAGGGGTGGCTCAGAGGCAAAGTGGCAGAGCCCAAGAAAGGTGATAAGGATGCCTATGGTGGTGTAGCCTGGCCCAGGATATCAGAGTCTAAGAAGGCTCGGAAGGGTTCCATTGCCACAGAGAGTGGAATATGACTCTGGATGTTGGGTCAGAGATCAAGTGGAGTGAAAAAGAATACACACAGGATGGAGGCACTGCACAAGGTCGGAACCTGAGTGAGGTGAGAAGAGAGGGGATAGCTTAATAAGTGGTTTCAGGGCAGGTGTGGGAGTAACTTGGGAGCACATGTCAGAACCTGTGCAGGATGAAGAGGACCTTTATAAAATCTACAGCGGCATTCCCTGGAGATTAGTTATATATAGGGGAATTGAACAAATGCATAAATATTTCTATATATACACATACACACACACTGAGTGAGAAGGCCTGGGAGCAAGAACACCTCAGTAACATTGCGTACACTTAGCATCCAGATCATGGTTTCTAAATACCATTCTCTAATAAAAGGATCCAGATTTGCTTAGGAGAGTAGATGACTACTTCCATGGCTACAGTAGAAAAAACACAAGATAATTCTGGGACATTTTGTTGTACAATAAAGTAAGGAAGTATTCAAAGAATGATAGGCACATGTCAAAAAGATAAACTACATTAAATGGGCTCTTGTTGGCCAAATCATTGACAATTTGGTCATCAAAATAATATTAATAGATTATTACTTGTTTAATAAAATAAGAAATCATTTATCCACTCTGATAGAGTAGACCATTTTGATAGAAATGTATTAATAAAACACTTAAGTGTTCATTGAAGAACAGTATATTTGAATTGTTTCAAAATCTCTAAACACAAAGTACTTACTAAGTATAAGGAGGAAAAAAATAATTTTAAAATGGAAAAGTCTGATAGACAATACCTCACAATCAGTGACCAAAGTTAACTTCAGCAGTATTGGGGCAAATTGAAGTCCTGTACCACCTGAGAGGGTGTAATATAAAGCACATGGTATCCCTGAATCATAGTAAAACAGCAGACACTAAGGTGCACCCAGCTGGGGAGAGGAACAGAGGGACAGAGTAAGACAGTGTAATCAGTGTATTCTGGCTGGTGGGGAGGAGACTTCTTAAGGTGATCATTTTTAAAAATAAGAGCCAATTTTCACTGGTTCTGTTATTGTTTTTAAAAGTCTTTATAGACCCTTTTTATTACCTGCACCTTCAACATACAGCTCCTACCAGGACCCCTACCCTGTTCTTGGTAGCTGACTGCTCAGACAAGCCCAAACTGAGTGAAACTTGACCAGATCACAGCCTTGTAATCTTCAGCAATGTCAAAGTCAGAAAAATCAAGGAAAGAGTAGGGAACGGTTCCACACTGAAAGAGACTGAAAATATACAACGATTAAATAAAATCTATAACTCTCGACTGGGTACTTTTGCTGTGAAAGATTTTACTAGGAAAATGTTAAAGTGGGGCCTGAGGATTAGACACTAGTACTCAATCAATGTTCATTTTTTTTTTATTTTGATGGCTTTATTGTGGTTATGTAAAAGAATGTCCTTTTTAGGAAATATAAAAGTTTTTAGGGGGGTTGGGGCATTGGTTTGTGTCATGATTCTAAGGGGTTCAGAAAAAATATTTCTTTGTATTATTCTTGCAAGATTTTCTATGTTTTTGAGATAGTTTCAAAATAAAAGTTAAAAGTGTATTGACTTCATATCTAATACACAGTTGCATTCAAAGCAGGATCAAATGTTTTCATATGGTGTTACTCTTCTCTTTTTTCAGGTACTGGTCTTTTGAGCCGTCCTGTTTTTACCCAGGAGCCACAAGACATTATTTTTCCTTTGGATTTATCAAAATCTGAAATCATCCTGAATTGTGCTGCCACTGGTTACCCTTCACCCAGTTATAGGTAAAGTCATACTTCTGAAACCACACTGTTTGTTTGTTTCTTTGTTTGTTTGCTTATTTATTTATTTATTGTCTTTGATGTAAAACATGCACACAATAAAGTGTTTAGAATTACCTAATTTGAAGGATGCAGCTCAGTGAATTTTTACAAAGGTAAAGAGCTGGATACCCACCGCTCAAATGAAAAAAAATGTTATATATTTTCAATATCCTCAAGTGTTGCCACTTTCCACTACCCTACTCCCAACCCAGGAACCATTGTTAGATCTCTGTCTTATTCATTAGGATGACTTAGAAGAGTGATTTTTTTTTCCTTTTCAAATTTTTATTTAAATTCCATTTAGTTAACATACAGTGCAACACTAGTGTGAGGAGTACAATTCAGTGATTCATTCCTTACATATAACACTCAGTGCTCATTATAACAAATGCCCTCCTAAATACCCATCACCCATCTAACCCTTCTCTCATGCACCTCTATCCATCAGTCCTCAGTTTGTGCTCTTTGAGTCTCTTATGCTTTGTTTCCCTCTCTCTTTTTTTTCTCCCTCCCATATGTGCATCTATTTTATTTCTTAAATTCCATGTATGAGTGAAATCATGGTATCTGTCTTTCTCTAATTTATTTTGCTTATTAGCATAACACATTCTGGCTCCATATATGTTGTTGCAAAAGGCAAGAGTTCATTCTTTTTGATGGACATTTGGGCTCTTTCCATAGTTGGGTTATTTTTGATAATGCTGCTATAAACAGTGGGGTTTATAATCAGTGGGGTTTCAATCAGTATTTTTGTAACCTTTAGGTAAATACCTAGTAATGCACTTGCTGGGTCATAGGGTAGTAGTTATATTTTTAACTATTTATTTATTTATTTATTTATTTATTTATTTATT